AACATTTTGATAAATTAACAAATCCTAAAATTATTTACAGAATGTTTATTTTAATTTATTAAATTAATAAAATATACAACAACATTTTGTAATTATTTACTAGAAACTCTTATCTTACATTAGATAAGCTGCTTCTACCCAAGCTATTGATAAAATTCCAATAGAAACTAAATGAAAGCTTATTTTTTATGAGAGACGTTAAAATGTTACTGAAAGATAAATTGAAAATTATCTGTAATTTAATTTTTAAAAAGGAAGAGAAAGCTACAAACAGATCAAATTTAATTTAATTTATATGTATTTTTAAAATGTTTACATTATAGCAACATTCAGGAAATAATCCTCTTATCTGGTCTTATATATTTTTAAAGCTCGTCTTGCAACAAAAATATTTTAATTTATATTATTTAAGTGGTAAACACACAGATTTATTTTGATCAGATGAAGTCATTAGAAAAACTGAAATTTGGACACTCCCCCCAAGGAGTTTGATAACTATCAACTAATGAACTAAGTTATACAGAAATTCTAAGTAGTGTTCTTAGCCAAAAATAAAAATACCTAATTGAAAATTTATTTATTCATTACAAAATTCACTGAACTAATCTTTTTGCATTAAATACTCATTTTAAATTTAAAAATGCTTAGTAATCTCTTGTCCAATTTCATTGATGTTAACAGATTCTATTAGACATACCAGACTATTACTAAATCGTTAAATTAGTCTCATTTCAGCCTGATAAAATCTGTAGTTAATTTGGCATACTGAAGTTAACTGTCAATCTAACTTTTNTGTCAGAAAAAGTTGGTGTCAGTTCATAAAAATTTAGGATTGAGATTTCAATCCGGGAAGACGATCCTTGCTCTGGACAACCTTCTGGCTTTAGAGGTACAAAGTTGCCTCAATGAATCGCAGATATCCATTTCTGCCGTAAAACTTTGTCTGAAGGGAAACTAAAAGCACTAACTTCTGGTTCTGTTGCATAGCTCTCTTTGCAAGCTGGTACACAACACTTTCAAGGCATGTTGTTTAACCTGAAAGCATCTTAACTAGAAAGTATAAATATACTAAAGTTAATAATAAATCCAATTCAAAGAACGAAGGACTGAAAAACTGCGTGTTTGACATGTCGAGCTTGAAAATGATCGTTAGAAAGGACCACTAGTAGTGGTGTCACTACGAGATTTCTGAAAGTGTTTGGAGACTTTATTCCTAGTTGGCATTGACCTAGTGAATGATTTGGCAATAAATTATGGGTAGGAATTACTAGTTTTAATAATTGATAATTGTGTATGTTTATAATCCATGATTGGAAATTTAAGCAGTAAAGAGTGCATCNGTGTACGTAGTCAACGCCACCTAGAGGAGCATTTGGAAATTGTAACCGGTGTTACCGGTAACACCGGTTACAATTTCCAAACGTTCCCCCAGGAGCCTCCAAACGACGTAGCATATGCGGTCGATGCTTTCGTCAGATCCATTTGGTCAATGACTTAAGCCTATTTTGGCTTATTTTTGTAACTGCGGGCATCACCGAGGCCCCCGTTCCGGCTCGCCGCCTGCTGCAGTGGTCATAGTCGGTAGGGGTAACCAGGGGTGGTGCTTTGTGGGATCTTCGGATCCCAGCAAACTTTAATAAACGCAGTATGTGGCCGATGCTGTTGTGGATTCTTCGTAAATGATATTGTTCCTTCATTTTTTAAAACAATTTCCAGAAAAATAAATAGTGCAACTATGCCAACTGCATTAACATTAATTTTATTTCACTTCTACATATCAAAGATGACACAGATAAATATTTAAATATTTTATTAACAGAAGAGTGTACTAAGTTCAGTTAGTTCTAGGAGTATATAGTAATAGTTGAATAACTTTTGTCTTCTTCACTTAGTGTATTTACTCTCCTAGATATGTAACCTAAAAATTTTGTGAATGCTGCTCTTGCATAGGATTTGTATTAAGTTGGCTACAAACATGAACCAAAGTATTTGGGCTTAGCATTGTCAACACACTACTGCTTCTCAAAAATTTATATGCATGTCGGCTAATAGAAATGCACAAGGGATCACAGAACCACAGTATCTCATTCATATCGTGGTTGTGTACTTGTACACTTAACTAAAGATAACTGTTCTCTTAAAAATCGAATCTTACCTTCCTGCTCTGGAAGTACTTCTGAAATCTGTTTTAAAATGTTGTCAACTATGTTTGTTTATATTTTCAGTAAGATTATCATCTGATATGCAAGTTTTAGGATGTCACTTAGTTCATTTATACTACTTATCTTTGTGGTCACCTTAGTGTTACTAAGAAATTTAACAAGGACATAAATATGTACCATTAAGTCATCTTCAATGATTGCACAGCACAATACTTTAGGATAGAAATCACTATTAATTAAAATCAGGCCTACACAGTTATCCTTTGGAATGCAAATCCAGTTTTTTGTGTATTTCACATAAAATTAGCTTGGTCTGAAGTTCTTCAAAAGTAGTGGAAGAGAACTTCTAGTTTAGCATACAGCTCCATTCTTTCTTCCATTGCATTACTGAGGAGAGTATTTTCCAAGCACTGTTGTCAATCCTCCAGATTCTCTCTTTTACTGACTGGCTTGTATAAATATGAAGGACATCCTGGTAATAATGAAGGAACAGTAATTCACATATCTGAAAGTAAGCATTATTAATTCCTGTTAACATTTAAAGTCACTAATGCTAATTCATACATTTCCATTTCCTAATTGTATGCACTTTCTGAACTTCCATGTTTATATTAAAATATTCATATCATGTTCCACATATTCTCTATGGAGAATCAGCAGAACATGCTTTAGTCTATACTTGCTAATTTCTAATTTGGATCTTCCCTGCTGAAATAGTCATTCCATATAAATATTTTAAAAAGTGAATACAGTAGAGCATTGATTATCTGAATATCGATCATCCTAAATGTCAATTAACCAAAAGCTTTCCAGTCGGCAAATTTAAATTTCCCGTAGTGCTGTGGTGCTGCAATCTTTGGTTATGTCTTGGGCTACTCCAATATTATTTTTGTTGGTGTGCATGTTTTAGCTTGCAGCACTGGTGCACCCATGAGAGGGTACTTAAAGATGTGCCAGGATTTGAACAAATTTCAACATGGGATAGGTTAATATATATTTTCATACATAATCGGTTATCCGATAAATAGATTTTCTGAACAATCCCAGTCCCCAATTGATTCAGATAATCGATGCTCTACTGTATATCTAAAACAAAGGCATTTAAATAGATATAGATTGACATGAATTTTTAACTTCAATGAACAAAACAATTTAAAAAGAATCTCTCATTAAACAAATTTACCATTATGAGCTAAAACAAAGTAAGCTTTTCTGAAGTATTGTTTACCAGTTAAAAATGGCCTGCTTATGAGATTCATTCCATCTTAAAAGGTTAAAAAAAAAAAAAAAGAATTAAATTACTCACCACTGACTGTTTTGTAGGTACAAAGTTACCTCAATGAATCGCAGATATCCATTTCTGCCGTAAAACTTTGTCTGAAGGGAAACTAAAAGCACTAACTTTTGGTTCTGTTGCATAGTTCTCTTTGCAAGCTGGTACACAACAATTTCAAGGCATGTTGTTTAACCTGAAAGCATCTTAGCTAGAAAGTATAAATATACTAAAGTTAATAATAAATCCAATTCAAAGAACGAAGGACTGAAAAACTGCGTGTTTGACATGTTGAGCTTGGAAATGGTCGTTAGAAAGGACCACTAGTAGTGGTGTCACACGAGATTTCTGAAAGTGTTTGGAGACTTTATTCCTAGTTGGCATTGACCTAGTGAATGATTTGGCAATAAATTATGGGTAGGAATTACTAGTTTTAATAATTGATAATTGTGTATGTTTATAATCCATGATTGGAAATTTAAGCAGTAAAGAGTGCTTCAGTTGGATTAGTTTCTAGGATACTTTCATGAGTAGAAGTGCAGCTGTGAATGAGTAGGTTGTCAGAGTGATAGGTCATGCCCATAAGAATAAAAGAGTCAAAGGATGGTTGTCTACATATGACTAGATATAGTCCCCTCAAATCAGCCTATCTTATTAAATACACTATAGGCTTAATGGAATGCACACTGTGACTCCAATCACACTCTAGAAGTAATCTGTGCAATGGCATTTCTCATGTTTGAGTTTTTAGCTGTCTCTAATAAAATGGAAAATGGTTGATTGTTTTGAGAAACATTTTCAAATTTTTTTCACTTTTAAATTTTACAATTTTTGAGGGTCTCAAAATTCCAGATATTCAGATTTTAGGGCCACATCATTCAGAGCTGTATTTGTATTCTTTTACGATGTTTTTTGATCACGCTGCACCTTGCTTTTTTAGCTCTAGTTTAAGGTGTAGTATGATTTGTATATTTGTTTCCAGTTTTTTTACAAGTGTTTTACAATGTTTTCACCATAATTGGGCTCTATCACTCATGCCATACCATTGAAAGCCTTGCCAAACTCATAATGAGTGTACAGTAATACCTCGACTTACACTACCCCAACTTATGCGAACTCGGAGTTACGTGATTTTCAAATCTCGTTGATTCGTCTTTTGTTTGAGCACGCCACGCAACTCTTGATTTCTCCCTCCCCCCCACACTATTGTTCAGCTTACATGTTCGGACGTGTCGCGCGGAATCAACAGATAGCTACAATTTATTTTGTGTTATTTATTTCTGTGTTTGGTATATTTATGGAGACTTGAGATACTATATGTTGTGATTTCTTGTAACCGTGAACTCATTAATCTTATTTCATCTTTTGAATCAAAAGAGAACATTTATTAGCTCATATACACCCAACTTGGATTTTACACAAGTTGCGAAATTATACCCCGACTTACGCGAATTCGACTTACGCGGTTATCGCTCGGTCCCACCTATCGCGTAAGTTCGGGGTATTACTGTATATTCAATAATTATGAATAATTTTAATACTTGTCATTTCTTATAATAGGTTTTTAAAAACATGTTAAAAGAAAATGTCACATTCATATGTGATTCAAATTCGTCTCGTGATGTGGATGGAGAAAATAAGAATGTAGATCTTATGTACTTAAACAACACATTACTTCCCAAGGTTGGAGATGCCCTCGTTGAAACGACGCGGAAGAGGAAGCTGTATCCAGAAGAATATCGTACGATCGTAACAAAACAATTAAAATTGGAAGCTGAAAAATTGGTAAACTTGTATTTTGTATTCAAATGTTAAATTAAAGGTATAAATTGAATAATATAACTTATTTAAGTAATTATGTAGGGCATGTAGATCGTATTACTGTTACACAAAAAGAATTTTGGCTGAAATGTCTTGCAAGAATTTCACACATTATTCTTTTAAATTAGGAATTGTGTCAAATTCTTTTGCATTCTAAATAAATACAATTAAACATTTAATATACAGTAAAGAGTTTACTGCAGAAGAAACAAGTTTAACCAATTAAACATCTTCAGATTCCAGTCGAATAAAACACAGATTGAGATTCTAGAATATTGGTTGGTTGTGGGTTTGCATATGACAAACAGGATCGTGTGGAGTTTTCCACATTTTATTCACATGTTTAGCACCTAAATATGGACCAGTTTCTCATAGAAAGTCCTCCCAGGAGGTACTCCTTCCTATACGGATTGCCCTATCCAATTCCTATAATCCTTCCAGAACATTATTTGCCACATGCACTAATTATATAATAAATTATCTAATCTTAAGAGCATAAACATTTTCAGGACCCGAAATATGAACAAACTAAACTCATGGAAAATGTTTTTTCTAAAGAATTTGAAATTGTATTGAGTTCAGTCATAAGATAATGCCATTTTTTACGAGCATTGTTTTCATGCTGTAGCATAATTTACGTAATATGCCAATCGGTTCAAATGCTAAATTTTTAATTATATAACAATTTTAATAATAATTTTTGATTACTTTTAAAAAGTTTTATCATCATGAATCAAAATGGGATGTTCAGAAGAACCTTTAAGATATGTAATGTTATATAAATTTAAGAAAGATAAATAAGGCTGCAGTTACAGCGATTAACATTACATGTAATGCATATGGCTGTAAAGCTCCAAATGTCAGAAAAAGTTGGTGTCAGTTCATAAAAATTTAGGATTGAGATTTCAATCCGGGAAGACGATCCTTGCTCTGGACAACCTTCTGGCTTTAGAAAGTGCTGAAATTTCTGCAGTAGTAGAAGCTGTTTAGAGAAGAAATTGTGGAAAAGCTTGGAGTATCCCAATTAATGGCATTTAGGTGGTTGGATCAACTGGAGAAGATCAACAAGTATGGGATATGGGTTCCACATAACGCAATCATAACAATCATCTGGATTGATTATCCATATGCATTTCACCTAATAGTCAATAGCAAATCCTATTTCTGGACAGAATGGTAACTGGGGATAAGTAGTAGTATTAATGCTAATGTTATTTCTAACCATACGTTTCTATATTCAACGGTTGACTCAACAGTGAATTTTCCGTTGAGTCCCTCCGTTGAACGATCTGACGTCACGTTTTGCAGAAAAAAGAAACGCTTTCGTTGAGAGGTCGCTTTTCAAGATGGCTGACTTCAGTAACGAGAAGGTGGCGATTGTGACTGTTTTGCTAAATAATTAAAGTAACTCGCTTAACCATTATTCGAATAAATCCTTTTATTCAAATGAACCCGTATCTGTATCATTTTTTTTGTATACTGGGTCTTTTTTTAATTAATAATTTTAATTAATTTCTTGAATATTTATATCATTAGGAAGACTTAGCGGGCCAAATATCGGTCGTAATCAATTTTGGACAAATGAAAAAATCTTAATATTTCAATATTGACCAAATTATCCAACATAATCGTGCAATCACGTGTTTTATCATATACAGATTG